TAGAGCATTTGGCAATGGGATAATTAACAAATAATACACTCACAAGTTTGTTAATCTCAGAAGATAATCTCATTCTGGCTGTGATTAGAAAAACAATGGAAGTTCACATCCCCAGTAGATTTTTGATGGGTACTCTTGAACAGCCTGTGCTCCACAGGCAACCTCTAAGAGGTCAAAAAAAAAATCAGAGAAGTGGTTAAAAGTAACTGTTTTGATTGTTAACAGAACATTGTATTCAGCTGTACAAGTGTTTAAATCTGAAAAAGGGATATGAGAGAAAAGCATTGGAGCACAACCCTCAGTTGAAGAGGAACAAGACACTGCTTTCAGTGAGGAAACTGGGCTGGGATCAGGACTGATGAAACTTGGGATCCAATACAGGAGCATTGTCAGCTCCCTGGATTTGACACCACACCAAATCATCTTTGCTCAAGGCTGTGTGTGAACAGTTTACTCCTCACAGCTTGTCCCTGTAGTTCCTCCCTTCTCAGCCAGCATTAGAGAACATCTTTCTGTTCTTGACAACAGGAGTGTAAGCACTTTATTAACATGTTTAAATATTATGTAGGCTTAGATATTCACACAAGCATGACCTTAAGTAGGCTGCATTTCTATTTACAACTACTTATCTGAATTTGCTATCCTTTTATATACAGTACTCTCTCTCCTAGTCCTCTCTGCCACCATATGGAGGAGACTCCCTTTGATCCTCTACTACTGCAAAATTTTAACACAATTTTTCTTGCCTGAAGTGCCACTTTCCTTGCTGAAGGAGATAATGCTAAGAAAATACGTTTTGCATTAACTATCTGCTTGTCCAGCAGACCCATCCTCAAGTAATTTTGAGGACCACCAGCCAACGTTGACTAAATCTGAGAGACAAGTGCATGTCTCAAACACTGCAGACCCTGCAGGCTCTGACCAAGCCAGCAGCTGGGTAGCTGAGCATGCTCCAGCCCAGGCTGAGGCACCACGAGCTCCTCTGCTCAGCTGAAGTTTTGGGTGTGATGGGTTGTTCCAACAGATGTCAGAGCTGACAGGTCAGCCCCTGGTCTCCTCCCATGCAGGGCACCCTGCAGTCCCCTGGTCCCAAAAGCTTGCAATTTGGATGGATGAAGCTCGAATTTGTGACAGTGTCCTGGGAAGGATCAACAGAAACACACCCAGTGGTTTAACAACTTGCCCTGGTCTGGAGTACAGGGCTCTGGGCACTCCTGGTGCTGCCCACATGGGCTACAGGCAAACATTGGGCATCCATTGGGAGAGGATTGCAACAGGAGGGGATAGATTCAGAAATAACATCGTGTGAGAGAACAGGGTGCCCAGGAAAACAGGGGCAAAGGAGGGGTGAAGGGACAAGCAAGGCAAATCTGCAGAGCCAACGTCTGCAAGTGCTTCACACTCGCTGTGCACGAGCTGCATCTGACCCCAAAGACACAATTCATCAATGCTGTGCTGACCTCAAATTATTAAATCCAGGTTTATTAGGTCTGGATTAAAAATGTACTGCTGAATCAGAGCTGGCTCATCTTTGGTGAATGTTAAAGTCTTAGATACTTGCTCACATCCACTTTGGAGCATTTATTAAAGCTTCCTTGTATTTTTTATGTCTAACAAATGAATGGGTCACCTCAGACAATGCTTCTGAAAAAGAAAACTCTTCTTTTAAGTATCTCACTATCCAAATATTTATTTTTTTTAAGTGTCCCTCAAAATGATCAGATTATAGGCAAAGTACTAGATGTGATACCTGTACAGACTTTTTTTTTACATTCAGTTTTAATACTTCAATGTTGATCTCCTCTAGCAGTCAGAGCATTTAAATCAGTGACTTGACTATATGCTGAATAGGGAAATATTTTTCCCCCCTGAGTTTACTAACATATTCTTTCCTCTAATACAGGAATGGAAAAGGAAGGCAATCTGCAACATGCTTTATACAATTTGCAATATCCCAGTTAATTTCACCTAACACTTTTCCTTTCAAAATTAATTTATCTTAGTTTCTGCCAGGATAAGGAATGCAAGAGCTGCTCTCCCAAAATTCACAATGTGTTGCAAGAGATTTTAGCACTGAAGGGGAGATTAACCCTGGGACTCAAAACAAAGAAGAGATTTAAAGGCAGACAGGCAGGCAGGCACACAGCTTTGTGCTGAGGAAGGAAAAGCCCACACTAAGCATCACACACGAGATCAAACTGCCCTTCTGTCTGCTGCTGTAGGTCTTCCCTCGTGTGCTCTTCTCTAATTGTTTTATACAAAGAGGGAAAGCACTGGATTACAAATATTTTAAGATAGATCCAATAGGAAAATAATGTTTGGAAATCATGCAGAAGGCTCGACTGAATTTCTAGAGGTATCACAGCAAGTACTTCAACCCTCCAAACCCAGCTGTGAGGCAGCACCTCCTCACCCTCTGAAAAGATCACTCCTCACTTTATGCCTTACCTACCTTGTGACATGAAAAAATTTGCTTCTCTGTGTTGTTTAGAAAGAGGATTTTTACACAGAAAGAATATTTTACACAGTGACAAGGGCAGATCTGCACAGTACACACCAAACTGAGTGACTCTTGATCACTCATCCAAGTGTAACCCCCCAGGGTTTGTTTGTTTGCTTTCCCATGGCAAACAGGGGTGTTAAAGATATGTACAGGAGACACATTTCCTCTCTCAGAATGCACAGTGCATCCTCCCCAGCATCATTCTTTCACACTTTGCTTCATTCAGACGACGACCATATGGCCCTTGTGATTTATTTCACCTGAGCCTCTTGAGTTGTTCCAAAATTCCTCCTTAGAGACTCTGATTTCTGCTAAGGACACAGATTGATCTTCTGTGAGGTGGAATATGGAATAAGAGTTTGAAAGTCCTTTCCCCAAGTAAAAACTGCTATAAATAATAATTTAACTTCTCTGCTGCTTTACTTTTTAACTGTTATCACTTGCTGTCAGTCACAAGGCCTGGAGTCTCCCCAATGGCACAGTGCAATGGCTCCTGGTGCATTTAAACCAGCTTTAAATCACGTATTCTTTATTCAGCCTGCTGCACCTTTGGTTTGTTGTTGACAGAGGAAAAGAACTATATAGAAGTTAGGTATATCACGTGCACAGTAATTAAAGCTGTGCACAGCCTGTCAGGTATCACAGATCTCACACTGCATGTGCCATCACTTCCTTTACAGATGATGGCAATAGGCACAGAAATGCTGTGGCTTTCTCTGAAACCTGCTGCTGTAATAAGGAGAGCTCTGTCCCTCTCAGCCAGATACAACCTTCTCACAAGCATAATTAGAGTTTGCTCACAGCCAAGTCATTACAGCAACTCCACGGCCCCTCTGGCCAAGTGACACGACTGAGATTCCCTTATGCTAAACTTGTGAAACCAAAATGTTAAATCAACCAATGGCCAAAGGGAAAAGGTGGGAGAACAGCCCTAATCCCTGATTTCCAGCTCCACACTCACTCATCAGATTCCCTTTTCAGCCATCTTAGGATCCCTGTCAGGGTGGGTTTTATCCATGCGAATTGGCTCACTGGACTGAGATCTCCCTTTCACCTGACAGCTCCCAGCAGCCACTTTCCGTGCCCAACACTCTGTAGTTGTACAGTCCAGAAGTGCAGAAAGACAAGTCTGTAAAATGAACTATAACTGGGCAAACAAGGAGTTTTCAAACACATCTCCCCATCAGACTCAAAGAGGACCCACAGATATGTTCAGAATCATTCCTCTGAAAACCAGCAAGCTCCTCACCCAGCCTCAGCTTCCGTCCTCCAGCCCTCTGAGCTGTGGAGCTGATCAAAACAAGGTCACAATGATATCCTCCTTTAATGAAAAGTATGTTCCTTTTTCATTCCTCTTTTCTGGGGAACAGGTGAGCTGTTTTTGTTCAAACGTTCGGCATTTTAACAAAGGCCCCTTTGAAGGCCACCCTTGAACAGTGTAGGCCTAATAGGTTTAAGTTTCAAACAGGTCCAGGTTTCCAAACTGGAAACAGGAGGTCAGAATCCAAAAAACTTTTAGACGATGTTCAATGCATCTGGGAGAATTTCAAGATCCATGGAAACAATGTAAGTACTCCAGCACATGCTTGTCACTTCTTGTGGGGAAGAAAAAGTGACTCAAATTCACAGTTCAGGAATAAATGGCCTTTCCATCTCTGATTGTGCAGGTAGGAGACACACAGGCATTCCAGAAAGGAAGGCCTGGGTAAAAAAACCACCAAACACCCCCCAGCTCCAGAGAACCACTCCTTCCTGCATGGGGCTCCAGGGAAGGCTCCACAGGAGCCAGGGGACTCCTCACTGAGTCAAGCCCAGACAGTTTCTAACCCTAAAGTGTTTAGAGTCAAACCTTCCTACACCAGACAGCTCCAGAACAGGAGACAGGAGGGCTTTTGTGTTACTACTAAGTGAAAAACTAGCATCAACATCCAAATTCTTCCTCACAGCACAGGTTTTACTGTGCTTTCCTACTTGTAGAAAACCTAAATCAAGTGTTTAGTATTTCACTGCAAAGTGAGGGCTCAGCAGAGAGAATGTTGGTAAAGTGAGAATAACACACCGTGCCTGCTCTCAGATGTTCATTTCTGTGCAAGTCAAAAATCACAGAGAACAGCTTAAACAAATCTTAACATGCCTCTCATGCCCAGAAATGGGATTCCTCCTACAAATGCCTTAGGCATGAACATCACAACACCTTCCTCTTGTACCCAGGCTCCTCCCATTTTATTTTACTCTCTTACCAAAAACACCCAGGTATTTTCATCTTTTTTTTCACCTCTCAACACAGTAAATTCAGAATATTGTGAAGCTTCCATAGCAAGAGCAAACAAGTTACAGGATCCGTTGTTTCAGGTCTTGGAAAGTATTCTTAAAAATAAACAGAAGGGTGTACAGATACTCATTATTTCTCTGAAAAGAGACTAGTGTTAATCTAAAAACCTCATTTTGAATTTCTCAGTGAGAAACAGATTCGTGGTGGGTCTATAACCGAACGTACCTTTGCTTTCAGCTCAGCACAGATCTCCAGTTGCTTCTGCCTGGAGTCAGCCAGCACCACTTGTGCCTCCTGAGCAGCAGCAGCTTCAGCAGCAGTTGCCAGTGCCCTGAGCACAAAGGCTTTGCTGGCCTGAGCCCAGCTCAGCAGCAGGGCCCTGCGCTGGTTCCTGACGCAATGGTAATGATCCCAAGCTTTCTCATGAGCAACCTGAGAGAGGAAAGCATTGCAGAAGGGTTTCAAAACTAGGCATTAATAATAGAAAGTTATTCTAGATATTTTTGCAAACCTCGAGAATACTTAAATTAATTATATTGTCACCAATAACCCACAATGCAGGGCCAGTGCACTCTGCCAGGGATGTTCCAGGTGTCCAGGGCAGTGCCCCCTCTCCAGCCCTGCCCTCTCTGCCTGCACCATGTGCCCCTCCAGCACCCTGTTGGCCCACTGCTCTTTGCTGAACTGCACCTTTGCAACAGGGATTGAATGCAACGGTCCCTTCCTGCCCTGAGGGACATAAAATACAATGTCCTTCCAGTACATCTCCAGAGATACTGAGTACTTCCAGCAAGATGAGGCTTTTCTTAGCAAATTGTGATCTACAGAGAAACAGGACACTGAAACAGCTGTACAAAAGCAGGACAGGTGAGAATCAGCCTCACTTCTTTCCTAACAGGGAATTTGGAAACAGAATTTTAGCTTGCCAAGCAGCACAGTGCCACCACCAGCGTCACCACCTAGCAAAAATGGGGAGTGTTTAATCCAAAATACACCCTCTTTGGCCTAACTCAGAGAGGTTCCCAAGGACATTCAGGCTTCAAGACTTTGACAGAAGTAGTAGCAGGTAAGGCTGCATAGACCGAGGCCATTGAGTCCTGAGCCTGTCTTATATCCCCAAAAATACAAGCTACAGGGATGAAGGAGGTTCTAGAGATGGCTGGCTGCTCACAGGTATCCAGGAGACCATTCCAGAGGCTGATTTCCAGGCTTCTGGCAGGGGATGCTGACTGTGCCTGGCTCACAGATATTCCCATCAGCTTGTGGCTGGATGAAGATGGCCCTGGATGTTCCCTTTGGTCAAACACGAGGCCCCCACCTGATCAGCTCCCTCTGTCAGGGCTGCTGCCCCAGCCTCACAAACTGCCAAAGCTCAGACAAAGGTCATGGGATGGAGAGTTTGCTCAGCCAAAACCAGACCTCTCCAACGAGCTCTGACAGGCTCAGGCACTGGGAGCTTGTCCACTGACCATCGTGCACGGAGGGAAGGAGGCCTGGAAGGCTCTCAGGCTGATATTCCAATGTTACACACACACTTTAAGAACAGGTTCTCAGCACTGTTTTACCATTCCCTATTTGTCATGCTAATGCACATACTAAGAGATATCGGCTCAATGCAGAGTTAGATTTTTAAAGTTAGCATTCTTAAATTTTAAATGAACCTTCAAAGAATTAGAACCAATAATAGTGGCTGTGCTTAAAATACACCTCCATTGTCCAAAGCACGTGACTGTTCATCCCAGTTCTCCAAGGCAAAAGGTCCGAAATCCATAAGAACTTCATTTTTAATGAAACTCAGGCTAATTATCAGTATCACTTCACTGTCACTCCTTTGCACTAGACACTCCTCAAACACAGGGAAGTAGATGGTCTAAAAATACAGTCAGAGATAAAAAAAGCCTCCTACTTTCCTTATGAGTTCCTGAAGTGTTCTGGCCTTGAAATGGGTTTCTCTATTAGTGCTGTGTGCTTATTCACTGTGGAGTATAAGAGGAATCAACAATCAATTTGAAAGGCATTATACATATAAAAATAGCCTCTACCCGAGAGCAGGAGATAACTTTTCACTCTTCTTCCCATATATGTGCCACAGAACAATTAAAATAACTATTACTAGACAGTGCGACGAGGCTCTACATCCTCATGAAAAATAAAAACACCAGGAGAAGCAGAGGAGCATGACATGGCTATAAAACAGTACAGCAAAAGCAGGGCTAACAAATTATTTTGTGAATTTGGCTGTAAGAGTGGGTGGAACTATAAAATCTCCCCAGGGCTTGTTTTGAAGAGGCAGTAGGTTTAAAGGTCCTGCATTTTGAAAACAGGGACATCTCTTCTTCACTATGCAGAATAAAATTTTTAATTAAGAAATTTGTAAACAAAAAAACTTCGATAAACATTCTTTAATACAACTGCTCACTACATAATTTATGTAAGAATTTGTATAATTGAAGGAATATTTAAGCCAACACTGACCAGCTCATGCCAGGATTTGTGGGGAAGGTATCTCTGCAGCATATCCAGGTACAAAGTCCTCCTCCTCTGAAGATCACTTGGATACTGATTGATAACAGCCTGGAAAACCCACTGATCTTCTTCATTCCAGTCACTGTTCCTATAGGAATGTAAAACAATCCACCCCAGTACAACTTAACCACTGAAGAGGAGGAGTTCAGTTCTGGGTTATTTTTACAGCCCCAGCTTTCAGTGGGCTCAGTCCCGATGCTGTAAACTGGATGTTGGGTCAGAGCTGAGCTTGTTTCATTTAATGAAACAAAGCAAACATAGAATGCTTTGGTGATGTGACCATTTATTGTGCCAACATTCAAGCAAATTGTTCAGTTTCTAACCTGGCTCTTTATTGACACTGTGTTTCTCCAACATGCCCTGTTAGTGGAGAGTCAGTCACCCCACATGGGAAAATACAGTGTGAAAAAGGAAGAAGGTGATCAGACTCTACCACTGAGCACTAAATACATGATCAAAATGCAATGAATGAAGTGACAATCCCTGCATGCAGTTTAAAACCAAACCCCTAACAGCCATAAACTCATCAGCAAAGCATTTTTTAGAATAGCAGTTGTACCAATCAGCTTGCATTCCTCTATCCCCGAAAATCAGAGCAGCAAGTAACGTCCAGCTAAAACAGAGTACCATGGGCTTGGACTCAGTAGCTCAGATTTTACCCTCAATCTGAACTCTTGGCCCCCAAGGGATTAATGTCAGGCTGTCACTGTCAGCATTAACATCCCAGCAGCAACACTGAGTCAGACCAAAAGGTCTCTCTAGCCCAGTGACCTGGTTTCAGAAGTGACTAAGAGCCTAGGGATAATTAAAAGATGGCAATCATGAGATTCTGTAACCCCCACCTCGAATTCCTGCCACCTCCAGCTGCTGCAGTTCCTGGACTGCCTGAGCCAGCAGCAGTGCCTCAGTATTCCATACACTGCATCCAGGAAGGCATTGGAACAGCCTTACCCTTATGCAGGCAGAAAAAAGCAGAAAAAACAGGTACTTCAGAAAGGGGGGTTTTGTGAGCTGCTCATATGTAATTAATATTAAACTAGACTTCGTTGTGTGATCCAGCATTATCTCCGAGGAGAAAACAGTGAACATTAGTATTAAGAAACAATTCTGTGTAACCCAGTTTAACACAACTTTTCTGTAACACATTGCACAGTAAACCTGCAGTGCATTGTCCCCACTCACAGCACTGGGGACAGTGAGGGACACAGCAGGGAACATCCCCACACCTGTCAGCTTTATGAAGGGAAAGCTTCACTTGCAGACACATCTCAAGAATGCAAAGACACGATATCCCATTTCAACAAACCATTTCACCCAACAACAAACCATTTCTGGCAAGTTCGGTGACAAGCTTACATGAGATAGGAAAATAAGTGAAAACTTTCTCTTCTTATTAACTATGTGAAATACCCAACAATCTATTTCTAGGACCCAGAAGTTTGCTATTAAACCCAGTCCTCTTGAAAAGAACAGGAGGCAGCCTTGAAATGGGAGAGCAAAGATGCAGCTCCTATAAAAAGTTTATCTTCAGTGACAAGCAAAGGCTGGAGACAAGGTAACAGTGAAACAACACCAGCCAAAGCAGAACTGCAATGGAAGTGTTTCTGTACAGTGCCTGCTGAATTTCCCTGGCAGACACTGGATATAGGTGTCTCAGTTGGGTGGTTTCATACCCTAAGCCTAAAGCAGAAATAGGGCCCCAGAAGGGAAATGGGCCTAAGGAATCCTACCCAGAGGGAGCAGTGCTGTAACAGCCCATAACTGCACACTGCAGGCCTGGAGCAGCACAGACACCCCTGAGCTTGGGCACAGGGCTGGCACAGGAAGGATGGGCTGTTCCTGCAGCATTTACTGCCTCTGAGAGAAATGTCTTGCAGCTGATCCTCAGAAATCAATGTTTTAAACTCCTCCCTCTTCTTTAGAGGGAGCTTTTCTATGAAATCACATCATTTATTAATTTTAGAATGTGTGTTATAATTTGATATTCTGAGACATAGGATTTCTGAAGAATAACTTTAATGAGCAAATTAATTATTCTTTGCTATGATTTAGATCTCTTTCACTGCAATTGCTCCTACTGATCTGAACTGAGTACAAAAATATTTTTTAAGATAACACCTATAATCCTTGTCTTTCTAGCCCCAACATTTTGTTCATTTGTGTATTAGAAGAATCACCGTATAACCCTGGCAGCCTTCACTCAGAGGGATCACCAGCCACTACAAGGGGGAGAAGTTAAGGCTTGTGGAAGATCCTCTGGGGAGCAATCAGCTGGAGCTACAGCTACAAGTAGTTTATTGTAAGTAGGAACAAACTGACTGCCAATGCCTTGGTTTGTCAGCTGTGCCAAAATCTGTCAGCTGTGCTGAGGTTTTGTCAGCTGCTCATAGACAAATAGGACCAAAAAAAAAAAATCAGGCTGACCCAGCCCAGCGCATTCCCAGCAGCAAACGCACGGGGAATCTCAACATCCTGCGGAGGGAACCCGAGACGGCACCTCAGCAACACTGCCGCGAAAATGCACAGAGGAACAGCTCACCTACACCACCTCTGCAAACTACAACACGTTTGACACGAAGAGTCAAGGTAATATCAGGTTTCTGCAGTGTCAAGATATCGACAAACGTTTGCCAGGCAGAAAGCATGACCCAAATTCGAAATGCAGCTTCCCCTGCGTGCAGCATTGTACCGGAGCACAGCACAGGCTGGGGTTTGTTTGGGAGCTGAAACACAGCAATTGTCTTCTCTGCGACAGCCCCGAGGCAGCTGCTTCCTTTGAAACAGATTTACCCGGCATTAATCCCTGGCTTTACACGTCCCAAAGAATACAAACAGCTCCGAGAGGAAGCTCCCCTGTCCCTGTAATCCCCGCAGATCCCTCGCAGCAGCAGCGTGTGCTGGCACCGCTGTGGTGTTGGATCTGCAGACACACGGGCTGCCTCAGTGCCACCAAGGGAGATGGCAACCCCTGCTACCAACTATGGCACTGTTGTACCACAGACATCCCGGGAACAGGCTGCAAAGAGCAGCCCCAGGTACCTGACTGGGTCCTGCTCTCCCACTCATTTGAAAGGATGCTGAGGATGCAGTGCTGAGTCTGCAATACTCCATTCATCCTTCAGTGATTTTAATAATTCAGACTTCCTGGGCAAAAATTTAATAGTGCTTAGAGAATCAGCAGCTATAACACACACATCAGTTCCAAGTCCACGATTTGTGGGATATCTCAGGACCCAGGTATTTCCCAAAAACAAAAACTTGTGGTTTAGCAGCAGTAAAAGGAATTAAATTAGATTATAAAATATTATAATCCCATACTAGGCTTGAAAAAAATCTCAAGTTTTTCTTCCATTTCTAAAAGCACTGACCACTGCAATGGGCACTCTAGTGGCACTGAAAAGCACACAGAAGAGACAAGCATATTATCTTAGTCTGAATTTTCTTTTTTGGACATTCTATGTGCATTTTCTAAATTCTCTGTTCCAGACAGTCTCTACAGTTTAAAAATGGCATGTGCAATGCCAGAGTAGCATCAACTGAAGGTTTCTTCACTGTACATTCAAGCATATGATGAAAGAAGGACAGAGCAGTAATCCCCAGCTGAAGTGACCAGGTTACCATGTTATCAGAGAGTCAAGTTGTACTATTGAGCAACTTCTCAAATCACCAAAATGAGGGAAGAAGTGTATTGCAGGAGGATGTTTGGTGTCTGTGGGTACAGAGCAATGACAATAACTGCAAAGGCTTCATTAAGGCTGTATTAATCAGTAGAGCACAGGGGATACACACCAAGGTCAAGGACCTGTCACTCCAATTTCTGACAGCAATATTATCTGTGCCACTTGGATCACAGGCTGCCTGATGAATTATAGAATACTTCAATCACAAGGCTGCATCTTTGCAAACTCATAGAATATTCCCATGCAAATTAACCAATACAAATGTAAGAAGTGACAAAGAGTGTCATATCTTTTATAAACCCAGATATTGGAAGTAAGCAATGCTACCAGAACAGAGTCTTGCTTTTTTTTTAATTGAAAACACATTTTTAATGTTGCTGTGGATAAAATAATAGAAACATAAATGAGCAATACATTAAAGATTTTGCTTGCCTTCTGGTCTCCAAAAAACCCAATATCTAGCTTTAAATAAATTGCCTGAGATAATTGCAGATGGTTCATTTATGATTCCCTAAATTCCCAGCTCTCAGTTCTGGCACATGCTGACCCAAAGTGGCTCTCTTGCCCCTCAGTATTGCCTCACATTCCTCTCAGCAAATTGCTGCCACTACCTCCAGCATTTCCTCCAGTTACATCCCTTTTGGTGCTCCCATCTAGAGATCACAACTTCATCCCTTCAGAGCACCACTGCACACGTGTTCATGCTACAACTGCATTTATTTCCCTTGAAAATATGGCATTTTATATTTAAGTCTTGATATTCTTGAATTATCAGTGTAAAATTACCTAGCTCCAGCCCTGAATTCACACCTGGCCTATGATCAGTGAAAATACTACCATAGATTTTTCAACCATTTTCACAGGTTCTGTTGTCTACATTGATGTGCTATTCAGTAGCATACATTCTGTGTGGGTCAAGGATTTAAATTTATGAATTCTCAATAAAATTGTGTTCATTATAAATTTTAACACAATTTTAATTAAAACCACTAGAAAGACTTAGTACATATTTAATGATTTAGCATTTGTCACAGGTTCTCACTGAGGTTGTTAAAACGTCTGTAACAGCAACTGTAACAAACTATCAGAGACAGCAGCAAAGCAACTGCTGTAAATTTGCCACTTGCTGCTTAATAAATGCTATAAATATGGGATAAATCAAAGCAATTTGTAATAAGTATCATGTTATAACAGCTAGGATGCTACAGTAATAACATACAGGTTTCAAGTAACAGAAGAAGAACCTACAGAATATCTGTACAATTTGTACAAAAGGTAAGTAGATCGTAACATCAGTTTCTGTGGCACCCAAGACGTTGAACCTGCTCCAGCACCCCCAACCATCTCAGCAGCAGGGACAGAAGATCAGGTGCTGCACTGGAGGTGCAGACAGAAAACAGAGAGATTGGGGAGCAGTGTGCCATTGTTTTACCACAGAAACCAAGGGACCTCCCTGCTCTCCCCCAGCTTCTTCTGCCCAGGCTTCCAACCCTTCCACTGACCTCCCCCTTCTCAGCCTTTAAACCCAAACCCATCCTAAGCCAGAGGAATATCAGGAGATGGCAAAAAGAAGGCAAAGCCTGTCCAGTATCTGCAACTCAGTATCTCTCCTGTACTCTAGACAGTCTCAGCAGAAAGGCTAAGCTTTACACTATTATTATTTAGGTTTGTTACATTTCAAGATCATTATGAATAATGTTCTTTCTATAAAGTGTTTCATTTACAGAAAAATCTCTCCTCCTTTCACTTAATCTGAATCAGAGCTATATACATTTTCTACGTTTCTTTGTGATGACAACTACTGCAGTGATCCAAAACTTGTGAGAAGATTGGACCTTTTTATCTGCTTTATAGATAAAAACCTTCTGAAAGTGTCTCAGAAAGCCTGCACTTTTCTGTCATAAATTTGATAGCAATTACCATGCAGAAAGAGTAACTTCTATTCCTGCAAGAGCATGTGAAGAGGACATTTGATACACAGCAGATTGTTGGTTCCTTATCCCACCAACTATGTTGCTTGTTATTTCAGCAGAGAGCTTTGGCAAGGCCCGGCTCCACCCTCAGCTGTGTAAACACTTCCCCACTGTCCAGCCCCAGAGCTGGGCAGAGCCTGCACTGCTCTGCACCAAACAGCACCAGCTCCAAGGGCAAAGCCAACTGCAGCACCTACACCTTATAAAGGACGTTAGAGACACTCTTATCCCCAAGGAAAGTCATGCACAAACCTGCCCTTACCTGGATAAAGCTTCCAACTGCTGGTCGACCTCCTGAAGCCTCGCCCAGTATCCACTGGCGAGCTCTTGGTACTCCTGGATCACCAAGGTCTTCAGGTCAGGGTAAGGGCATTCCAGAGACAGCAGCTCGGCAGGAACTTCATGGAAAAGCCCATTTTTCTCCTCAAAAGAGCCCGCTAATGCCTGCAATGAAGAGACGCTGCTCAGAACACTGCTCTGCATCATATTTTCTCTCTCAAGAAATTGCTAATTGAACTCATAAGGAAAAGCTTACATTTGCTTTATAGTCTTCAAGCTCTCTCTCCAAAGCCAGACTTTCAAGGACAAGACCTTCCAAAACTGCCTTCTGCTGGTTCTTCACAGATTTGACCTATTTCATGAAACATGTTACTGTTACTTCTTTATCTTGTTACAACACGAAACCTCTTATTTAAAAACAGTCAGATTTCCAGCCCTACACTGCTACACTTTTACAGATTTTAGTGAGCAGAGATCTATTACATGGCAAGTAGAGAAGTTACCCTCAAAGTTCAACAAAAATAAATGCAAACGGTAAAAATATGGTGGTAATAAATTGTAAAAATAAAGTTAAAACACCAACCTGCTGTAACATCTCAAATGAATCGATCTCAGGTTTCTGACAAGATTCTTCTGAGAGGGAATGCTGCATTTCTGCCAGCTGGAGTTTTAAATCCTCCTTTAGCTGCCAGACAGGAACTACAGTGTTTGTTTGGTAAGTGTCCCACTGCCTGGACAATTCCTGCTCTGGATCCAAATGAAAGAAAGCTTTCTCAGACACACAAAATATTACACAGCACTGTGCTCTCCAAATCTAAATCTGTCAAGACAGGGCTTTAAAAACTCAAACAAACAATCGAGATAATTTTGACTTTAAAATAATAATTAAGAAATTAATAAAAATTCTTACCCAAGTCCCTCAAATCCAAAAAGAAGTTGTGCTTATGACTTTCTTCATCAAGAAAAGTCTTTATTTCTCCTTCTACTTTTTGCCTGGAAGGTATAAACATGGATTTTACAGAAGCTTTAATTTCTTATTAATTTTATTTGCGAGAATGATAAGCCTCAAATAATTAATTAAAAAGGGGATTCTTTGCCTGGGAAGGGATGAAGTGAAGGACGTGGACATGAAGGTGGCAAGAAAGCCCCAAAGGTTGCTGTTGATGTGTGTCTGTACAGTACCCAGGGCAGCAGACAGAGCAGTGCCAGTGGTGCCTGTCCTCAGTGTGAACTCAACACACACATCCAGAGACAGACTCCAAAGGAACCAGAACTGAAAGCTTTCCACACCCAAACTCTGGCTGCTGACACCTGCCTTCAGCAGGGACTCCTGCAGGCTCCTCAGCTCTTACCTGCTCTGGCTCAGCCTCCTGTGCTCCTGCCACCACACCTGCCGGTGCTGTTTCAGCAGCATTTGCTCTTTGGTAATTTTTGAAACTTGCTCTGTTTTTTTAATCTGCAGGGAAAATTAAAGCTTGTATTTTGAATCTGTTCAACAGCTTTATCAAATGCCCTCATATTGGAAATTTTACTACAGAATGATGAACCTAACGGCTTTTTTCAAAACTTTTTTTCTAAAAACTTTTTTCTGAAGAACAATGTGTTCAAGTGTAACCAGTTTTCATGGGGAAAAGGAAGCTTATTCCATTTCAAGTCACAATTAAATGAGAGGAGAAAATGAAAAAAATGCAGTCCATTTTCTTCTTTCCTTTTCCATCCCTATTTCCCAGAGGTGAAGCAGGGGGGAAGATGAGCAGGAGAAAGAAACATTCTTACAGGTGGGAAGATGAAAGAGCAAAAGCGTATCCTTCAAGAAAAAGAATTTCAAAAATGTATGACTAAAAAAGTATTTTTACAAAATCTATCCAATTAAAGAGGCTCTGAAACTGAGGGCTTCACAAAAACATTGCTTCACACTTCAGATAAAATAGGAATACCTGCTTTTGAGACAGATGGAGTTAGTGCTTAAGCCAGAGGAAAAGGTGCCAGGGGGAGGCTGCTGAAGTGGCAGCCACAGACTCTGGCCAGCCAGCAGTGAAGGAACAGGGATCAAAGCCTGTGGCTGCCAGACATCCCTGAGACATTTCCTCCTCTCACCCTCCTGCCACTGTGACTGTCCCTGGCCTCTCTCTCAGTGCATACAGAGGACAAAGCTCCTTTCCTGCTCCTGCTCTTTGTGCTGCCTCGCCATCCCCTGCCTCCAGAACACCTGCCCATCCCTATCCCAGCCAACTCCTGACTCCAGCAGCTCCCACAATTCACACACAGGCCCCTTTTTCCCCTGCCCAGAACCTCCTTCCTGCAGATAATGGTAGAATGGAAGCAGGACAAGAAAAAACCATGGGAAAGCCTCGTCCTAGTTCATAACAGGGAGAAATGAATAAAGATCTCACTCCACATCTAGTTCAACAAAGGAATGATGTTCTGAGTCAAAAATGCTGGGTTTTCACTTGGCTCAGGTGGAATCAACCTGCAATTGTCCCGCCCAGGGCAAGCTGCACAAAGTCACCCATAGGCATGAGAGCACTGAACACCCACAGGACACACGGGCAGGGCCCCCAGCGTGTTCCTGCTCCTGCCCTGCCCAGGCCAGGGACACCAGCAGGGAAAGCTGTAGGACTGGGCTGGGCAGCACTCACAGCCAGGCAAGGAGGGGCCCAGCAATTCTCCAATCACAGCCCCTCAGTCACCACCATCAAAGCTAAAATCCTACTTCTGAAACTAGAAACATTTCCCCACCTCAGATGGACCTGAGTTCTGCACACCTGGTTGAACAGACCTGGTTCCTAGATAGTCTCATAAGGGAGAGCAGCTGGAATGGGGCTGATCCACTGTGCTTGGCAGCAAACTTGGTTATGGGGTATTATTGGGATAAGAAGCTGCAAAAGGGGCCATGGAGACACTGTGTGACTGTGGCTGAGAAACAAGGAACCTGCATGTGTGGCTGTACCAGAAGAGAGCTGGAACACACCCGTGCCATGCTCTCAACCAGTACGTTACAATGCTTCTAAATCAAACATAATGTCTTCTTATTTTTATTGCTTACCTATTTTCATCTTGAAAAAGTTACTTACAGCTTCCTCTTGGTTACCATTAGATGACTAAAATAGACCTCAGCAAACAGAATGCTTTATTTAAAGCAATCTGAAAATACATACATCTTCAAATTGGTTCTAAAACTAAGGTGAAACAAAACTCCATCTTAACATATGCTCTTGAAGTTATTTTGTAGCAACAGTAATGTCATTTACGTATTTATGTGTAACTGCTGCAATATTACCCTTTTTTCCTGCGTGTGCTGTCTTTTTATTTCTTAAACAGCCACCAATTGATTTACCATTTCTTTCTTTGGTTTTGCCTCAAAGGAGGAGTAACCCAGCTCTTCTAAATGTGGATAGCTTGAATCAGCAACAAAAAGTAGTAGGTGGGAACACATACTATTCTCTGTGGAGCTTTCAGAATATATATATTTTACTACCTACTCAGTTGGAAAACACTTGAAAAGGTGAAAACCCAAAAGAAAGATGAAAAAATAAAGTTTGGATGAATTCAGTAAAATTTTGTGCTGCCAATCTGTGAAGAAATATCTGCCAGCACCTTTGGTATATGATCCCTCCATGCATTAAAGGAAGCAATGCTTCCTGTATTGAAGGAAGTATATAAATATGCATTTTTTCTCTCATTCACTGTCACCCTTCTGTACTATTAAACAGATTCCTGTGGTCTTTACCACATGAACACTACTGCACCTATTTATACCTCTCTGTCAAACTCCACATTTACGTTTTATGGCTATTAAACACTTTTAATTTTATTTTAGGATCTACCTCAGCTTAACATTTGGAAATCCTTGCTTCATATCTTTTTGTTTAGTTTATTGTCTGGGTCAACCTTCCCATTTGTTCCCATAAATTCTTCATTGCCTCTGATTTTAAGTAATAAGTTTGGATGAGTTTCCACAAAGCACTCAAATACAAACCTTTCCTGTCTTTTGAGGAAGCAGAATCCACACATATTTTGCATCTCTGATTCAAAGAAAGTCAAAACATTGACATTATCCCAGTGTTACTGTGATTTGGATGTGTTAAACTCTCCTATCTGACCCCCTTTGGCTGAACCAATTTGTTATCCCTGTTCATTCTCAGATTCCTTGGGGCTGGAAGAAATATGATCATTGAGCTTCAAAAGCATTCACATAACAAGTAATACAAAAATCCTACCTTTAACTGAGTTTTTTCAGAGGCCATTTTTGCCTCTGCAGCAAGTTCATACAGATGTTTATAGTCAACAGGTTTGTACTTCTGGCTGCAAAGAGCCTTTCTTGCAGGAATCACTGGATTTTCTAGTTGTCACATAAAACACATAAGGTCATTTCAAATTCTGGAGAAATAATTCAAGTGTGAGTCATAAAATGAAAGCATTATAGATAGAAATTAGAACCAGTACATTTTAAACACCAAAAGTTTCCATAACAGAAACTGTTAGTTGGGAAATGAGAATTATATAAGAAACAGTAACCAGCTGTATGTTTACAAAAAGTTTCAAAAGCATTGTTTACATGTGAATTTCATTATGAATTCACTTTAAACTGCATTTACTGGAATTTTAGTAACTTCTAATACAGAAATACCTAAATTTCAATATATGCATTCTTCTTGCAGCAAGCAGAAAACTGCCCCAATGTTTATTGTGATCTATGGATTGAGCAACAGGAGTGATTTTTTTTCTCAGAGGTATAAAAACTACCAAACCCATGCAAAGGGGATGAGTTGCAGTTCCATTTCCCACTGCATCTCCAGCCACACAGACCAACAGTTACATCAGAACAGATCCAGAAAATCAGGACTGCAAACCCTGCCTGAATGGGATTTGTCAACAGAAGCAGAGAACCTCTGAGGCAACCTCAGACAGAGCTGCCCAGTGTTTATGGACATTTCCTGGCTCAGGGGACTGTGCCAGGCTGCCATTCAGAACAGAACTGAGGCTTCTTCCCCCTCCTCCTCAGCATCCAGAGTTCCACAGGCAGCCCCGTGCAGGGGGAGAGGACACACGACCTGCAGAGAGGAGGGAAGGCTCCCTCCTTCCCTCCTGCTCCCCAGGCCTCATTTTCTCACCACTCGTCTTCTCATCACACCAATTATTCCACCAGGTCAGTGTTATGCTAAGCAGGTTATAGCTCTGATCTTGTATTAAGACTATTTCTTTATTCTCTATATACCTTAAACAAAAAGCATTCAGTAGTTTGATCCACTAAATTCTTCCTTTTTCCCTGTGAGCTTAGTAGGAATAACCTCCTTTCTCCCAGTTTTTAGGCCTTTAGGCAGCTTTTTTAAGCCCCCTTTGTGGGTTTCTCTATGTAAAGACCATGATCAGAGAGCTTCTGTATGCACCTATTAGTTGCACAGAGTGTTTCATAGGCAGTTAATAAAACAATTAAACTTGAACATGATAGCACACATACCTCCATCACTAATCCGAGGAGTTGAAAACAACGTTCCATGCTCCAGTTCAGCCATTTTTATTTTTTAGGTGTTTTTTATATCTGTTGAGAAACAAACAGATGTTTTGAGAACACTAACATTGTGGATGCAATCTAAAAACAGATTCAAAAATATCTATTATTTTCTGAAAGAGGCACATCTCACTAAAAATGTAATTAGACAGAAATTCCTCAAGTTCATCCCTCATTTTAAGAGGGATTTCATGTGCCTCATATCATTTAGCAGCTAAGAAAACCAAATATTATTTCCTCTGAAATCTGTAATGCTGTCACACAGATATCTAGTCTTTGCTTTATGCTTTTCAAAACATAATGAATTCCTTGACCCAAACATAAGATCAGTTTTTGAGGTGTTCTTTGCTTCACAGAAATTAAGCCTGAAAAGATCACTCTTTTCTTGCATTTAGAGACTGTGTCTTGACCCCCTTAGGAGTCTGTGCATTAACACCTGTGAAACCCAGTCAGCTCTTTCAGCAGCAGTGGCTCAGCTCCTGGTGAGCAGCTGCATCAAGTACCCACATCACTGTGGGATTACTGTGACATTTAAGATAAAATAAGTTACACCATGCTGTAAAAAGACCTTTGAAGTCTCAAGCCCCTTGCTTTCACCACAATTAAGCATACATGGATGCCACCTCAGGTCTGGCATACAAATAAAAGCAACAGGTCCAACTGAGGTGTTTCAGCCCAACTGAATCCACTCCTGAATCCCACCAGAAGGGGAAGGTCATGTCCAACCAGGCTCCCCACAAACCCTCTCCCTCAAACCCAGTTCTACTCAGCCAAAATTTCCCACACACAAGATTCCTCCTCTTTGTCATACCTTTGACTTTGTCTGGTCCCACAGCAAGCAGCAACACAGTAAATAGCAGAGGAGCAAAGTCTGTTCAATGGTGTATCATGGAGTTATTTCCTCACTGTTCTAGTGAATTGAACTAGTTTATCCCTACAAATTCCAAGAGTGGCACAATGCAACACGAAGGTGGGAAGGAAGAGCAGCAGAAGCAATGGAAAGGGAACTACTCTGAGAGAGAGCTACTAATGCCAGTCAAATAAAAATGTGAGACTGCAACCAAAGCCAGTCAACATTGTACTTTCCTGTGAGCTGTTTGACATTCTGCACAGCAGAATCATCAAAAACAACACAGTGTAAAAATGCAGCTTAGACAGCCCACAGGAATGAGTGTCCACACCTCCTGCACACCATGGTAAATGCAGTTGAAATCCCAGTGCTGCTGTGCTCAGTGTGAGGGTGTCCTGCCCATGGGAACTGGGAAGGGACCAGGCAGAGAGAACACACGAGCAGCAGGCTTTGCATAGGGAACACTCCTGGACCAAACCAAGGGCAAAACAGTGAATCTCATGGCTAAAGGGTGGCATTTCTCAGAGCTTCTTCATGCACAGTCTCCAGTGCTCTTTAGCAAGGCTATGAGACTGTCCCTTGCAGGCTAAATGTCCCCTGGCCTCACCCAGGAGTGGCCATTCATTAATAGAGTGGCCTTTGCAAATCTGGGCTGAAAGTATTTGGCAGGATCAATAGGTCAGAAGCTGCACTGAATGTCATCATCTGATCACAAATATTGAAATTAAAAAAACCACGAAAGCCAGTAAATACATGAGGGAGTTCATTTTCCTCTTCAAACACTAATGTGCATTTTACCATCTGATTGTCACCTGCAAATAAATTCCCAGTTCTATGCCAAACTCTACACCCTCCTGGAAAGTCAAGGGGGAAAGAAAGGAAGGAAAATGTTAGCACATTCATACTGCTGATTCTACTTTTCTCTGCTTGCAGCAATTATTTGGTTTCAATTTGTAACCACATAACACTGCCAGATTCATCCAGACAAATGAGGCAATTCTCCATACCAGAAGCAACTTTGGCCCATTTGTCATGCTAATGTTTTATCTATACATCAACTTATCTACATACAACTTCCTAACTGCATATATACTTTGGTTGCAATAGATTTTTTAAAAAATTCAAATTAATTATATATGTAAAGCCTTAAGGCAGGGATTTACATAACACAGTGAAGTATGGGATTCACCTTACTTATTTCTTCAGGATGCACAAAGACAGTGTAAATATTGCTTCTTTTCCCCCTAAAGACAAAATATGATTTTCTGCTTCTTCTCAGAAAGGTCAGCTACACACAGGCTTGTCTTTCTGTCTCTAGGACTCGTCACTGGAAATACAACTGAACAAGAAACGCTCCATCACCAACACACAAATCTTTAAGTTATGGGCAGATAAATTTAAAAGCCATATAAAGAAAATTCTTGTTTATAAGTCTGTAAATTAGGTTTAGTTTAGTATCCCTGCTGTCATAATTCCCTTAGATTTCCAGCCTCCAAGATCTTCTTCCTGGGAGGAGGGGAAAGCAGACAAATCACAAAATTCTGTAATTATAAATGGGGACAGAGAGGGAACCGTAGCAAAAGAAAAGTGAAATCCTTGAAACTGGCATCATTTCCATGGAATTCTATAATAATCAGCACTTTCAGGAAACTCCAGCACAATTATGTGACAATCTTCCACTGAATTTACAGCCATTAAGGTTGAACAGGAAAATTCAAAACACTAATAACATAAACTCAAATTCTTTGTTGAATTTTACCCTTTCATTTAAGAGTAAATACCTGGATTTAGAGAAAAGGGAAAGCATCACAAGATATTTAAATTCTTTATTTTAAAACTTTTTTGGTTGACCAGTCTAAACCTTTCATAGATTTCTTTCTTAGAAAGATCATAAGTCTCAATTCATAGTCTCCATCAGGAAAATGTGAATATTTAACTATGGCTTGGTATTTCTGTAACCCCACTGATGCTATTAATAACATAAGAGTGAAGACTAACTGCATCAAACCTCTTCTTCCCCTGTCAGATGCAGGCTGTAGTTACATGGGTCAGGAAGAGCAGGGGCAGAACCCTCCCAGGGATTCTGAACAAGCTGGGCCATTCTCCAGCAGAGCCACTGGAGCTCTTCAGATCAGCAGCACCATTTTTAACCAACAGCCAGTTCTCTTGAGGGTTTTGTGTGCAATGGTTAATATTTACACAGCAATGTTGATTTTCCTTAGCAGAGATATCAGCAGGGCTATCACATTGTGAGACTGCAAACAGAAATAAATATATCTGCATTGCACTGGGAGCAGATTGTCTGCACAAGGCTTGGGGCACCACGTGAGCTTTGGAGATCTGCACCAGCAGCAGCTTCAACCACAGCCACCAGAATTCCTCAAAGGAAAAGCAGGAAAATACATCTACAAAGGAAAACACACCATGGGATAGTCCTAACTACAGTGTGGGACATCAGAGCTCCTGGCAGAGTCAAAAGGAGACACACAGCAGTGAAAGCTGCTTGGCTTTGCTGCCACCACTGGCACCCACCTCCCCCAGGCTCAAGGCAGAGAGGGCATTCAGTGGCACAAAGCACACAGTTTACCTCAGAACATTCTCTGACTGCTCTTTTCACATGGATAGTCTTCAGAAAGGGCATTCAAGCCTCCACCTTCAGCTTTCCCAGCCTCTCTCCAGCCCAGTGCCACTTGCGCTGCTCTCGGAGCTCAGGGCCCCAGCACCACTGCAGGAGATCCCTCTGATCCCTGGGATCCAGCAATTCCACACAGCATCAAAGCTACCTCTAGTTTTCATTCTTGCAAGCAGAACCCGTGGAGAATCACAGGTAGCAGGGTTTTTTTTCCTGCTTCCTCTTGCGTTTCCACTCTAGTTCATGGAAAGTGATCCAAATATTTCAGGGCACATCTCAGTTTTCAACAAGAGTCACTAGATTTTGCATCTGGCAGTGCTTCTAATCACCTTCATACTTTTGCTCTCAAAGAGACTATTGGGATTTTTGTATTTTATAACCCTAAAAGAGTAATTTCAGCTATGTCAATGCTCCCATTAAATTCTGTGAGATGTTAGTATTTCTCCTGGTTGTAGAATCAGTATTAAAGGGGAAAGGAAATCAATTTAGGGTGAGGCTTAGTGTATTTACATCATAAAGACACTTTACAAAGATAGAATTATTTGTAGGTTTAAACCCAAGAAATTTAACTGACAGGTGATTAATTCTGGGGGTCCTTGCTCCACTCCTCCCCAGCAGGCTCTCTGTCAGCTTCAATTGAAATCTTGCACTGAATGCATGCTACATCTTACAACACAGACTTAGCATTCCCCATGAAAATTATTAATTTTTAAAGGTTTGCAGCTGCTTGAACAGAGCTAATGAGTTACAGCTAATGATTTTTTTTCCATTCACCTATGCATTCTGGAATCTAAACTACTTAAAGAGTAGAAATATCAATTTCAGGAAGAGTTAATTGCACTAAAGCACATTTTTGCCTTCACAGGGTGCAACAGAATAACTTAAATTTGCATACCTCCTTTCTAAAGGAAGGTTATTCAGCAAGCAGCACTCCTTCAAACCAGAGGAACTTCATGTCCCTTGCCACAGTTTCCTTGGGAATAGGTTTGTTTCTGTGGTGGTTTTTTGGCCATTAGTTATTAATATCCATAAAATGCAGCTTGAACCGACCACACTATCCAGGAACTTGGTCAATCCATTTGTCATTTGTGACCAGAAAGACTATGAACAGATTCCAGAAGATTAACACCTTAGCATTTAAAACTTTCAAACACAGCTCTTTAGGACACAGCCACAAGGAAATCATTAGCAAGAGAGAAAATGAAAGCTCTAAAAGAAGAAGCAAAGAGCTGCATCAGGGAGCTGTGCCAGTACAGGAGGATGCAAACTGCTCCTGTAAGTACCAGCAATCCCCACCCAGCCTTGGCAGAACGAGCAGCACCTTGCAAGACAAACCTGGACTTTCCCCAGTGTGATTTCCAGGCTGGCTTCTGGTTATTCTCCTGCCTTCCCCATCAGCTGACAGTGCCTGTTCCAGCTCTGCTGTTCGTGGTCAAAAACAAGAGCAAGGGATTTAGAAATAAATTAAAAGAAAACCAGGTCAGATCAGGTCAGGAACTTCAGCGGGATGAAGAGGAAGGGAATTCCAGCTGACAATTCCATTACTGCACCATATCTTCAGTAGGGCTAAGATTTTATCAGCTCAATAAAACAAATCAGGGTGAGGGGACATTGCAAAATGATGAATAACGTAAAGGCCAGATGAGACACCTGTCTTTAGAAAATAACTGCACAAGAAGCTGACAATCTGGTCTTTCACAAGGCTAAAAGAAACCCCAGTTCTCTGCCATAGGCTGTCAGTTTTCCCCCCTCCTGCTTTCTTTTGGTTTCTCACCATCCAAGTGCTACTTCTACTGATAATTTTGGGAAGAGTACTACACAGGGACTCTCATCTGACCCTAAAACAAGGGCAAAACCAACTTATTCATGAAAAATTGGAAGTACTTGAAGGCTTTAAGGAGACTGGACCCATCACACCCCCTTCCCTCCCTAAACCCCTTTTATCACTGTCCCCTGTGCAGCTGCCACGTCAGAGTCATTCTCCTGGATGGCACATTTTGGGAGCCATCCTCCTAATCTGGCTCCATCTGGCCAGATTTAAATGACAAGCTTCTCCTAACACGGGAAATGCTGTCCTTTTTGAAAAATAACTATGGATGCAGTAAGATTAGCAGCAGCAGCAGAGCTACCCTTCTGGATTACTTATTTACTTATCCCTTTGGCAAATTGTTAATATCTTTCTACTGACACATTTCTGATTTAGTGTCAGCACTTGAACAAAATTTTACATATTCACCTTAGCTTTACCTCCTTTGAAAAGAAAGCAGAGGAATACATCTCCAGAAACAGAACTGATGCAGGAAAAACCTCATGGGCCATTTCCTGTAATTTTAGGGCTACTGTGCCTGATTAACCAAGTCCTTATTCCCTTCTAGCCAACCCATTTCTCTATTCCACAGTGATGTCATACATTTGTATTTGACCTCAGCTTTTCATGGACATCATTTTCTGTTATCATAAATTCAACATTATGATCTCACTAAAACACAGAAAATGAATGCTGACATGGTTTTGGAAAAGGCCAAGATCTATATAAACCTGTATTTTATCTTCAGTTCAAGCAAATGTACCAATCAAAATGATAAAAGCACTGCCAGTTAAATTTATTTCTGCTTTAATGCCAATATAGCTAAAAATCTCTCCAATACTGTAAGAGTCCATCCAAGCCCAAATTCAGATCCCATGCTTCAAGACTTGGCTCAAACTTCAATACAGTCCCTACACCAGAAGTCTGGATGCATCTTAGTACCACAAATTCAACCCGAAGCCCCTGTACACAGAAACCTGTCCCCCAAGAACACCAAGTCAGCTCTGCCTGCAGCCAGACACAGCTAAATCTTTTAGCAGCAGTAAAAAGCATGAGATTTACCAATCCTCAGTATCTCCTCCTTTTGATAATTTAGTATTTCACCACAATTCTGAACTCTTCTAGGCAATAACAAATGTGACCTCTTCAGAGATTACATCTCCAATTCAACCAAACACTTCTTAGTGGAAACCTTTGCTGGTGCCTGAGGTATACAACATCAGTTTATTCCTGCATATAGGAACAGCCAATATTGAGGCAAGATCCTCCTCCCTTTCATTTAAATAGAAATTAAACTCCCCAGTGTTAGTCAGCATTTCTGGAGCAAGCAGAGTCTGCCCCAGGCTGCTCCTGGGGATGAGTCAGGCCCAGGCCAGGCCCTGGTTCCACAACTGGGAGTGCTCCCAGTGAGCTTCACCAGTACCCTGGAAGGAGCCTAATCCCCCTGTCTCCATTCAACAGGTCATCTGCACACCCAGATCTTTGCAGATTTGGGTCCAGAGTGCCACTTCTCCCTCCCAGCCAAACTGCTGCTCAGGCACTGAAGGGCAGCACTGCTGGGGGGGGCACAGTGCTGAACAACCTGGATGTGCCTTCTAAAACACAGCTTTTTAGGCATGTTTTAAATCAGTCACATTATGAAATGCAAAAATCAATTAGGTGAATCAGCTCTACACAAACCCCAATTTGATAGCATCCTCCACGACAGCGTAGCAGCTGCTCTCCATGTCTGTGAACCCCACACCAGCAGAAGCTGCAATCCTCAGAGGCTCAGTAACTTACTCCTGGGTGTACAGCACCACAAACCAGACCTGGACCACGGGCTGACTGAAAACTTGGAACACAGCATCAGTGGGAACCTGGACTGCAGACTAGGGCAGATGGTCCTAAAAAATACAAACTCAGAAACAATCCCCCAACACAGACATCCCTTATTCTCAGGCCCTCGTTGGAATACCTGGAGATTCCTTAAAAATTTGTGGAAGGCTTCTTTTAAGATTTTAAAGTGTAATGGAAATGTTATTGCTTAGCTGCTGCATGTTTTCATTCAAAGAAAAGGAATATTAACATGAAGTTGTTGGAACCCTCTCATCCTAATTATTGTCAGGGAAAAGAGGCAAAGAATCACTCCCATTGTAGGGCACAGAGTACAAACAACAAACAAATAACCAGCTTTATCCCTTAATCAGATCCATTCTCTTCTGGTTGAACTAACTATCTGAAAATGGCACCCATCCAGAACGTGCTAATCTTGCAGCAGTCAATCCTTTCCCCAGGAAAATACACAGTATAATACTTCAATAATTCTGTGTCAAAACAGTTGCTGGAGAAGTCCCATAGTTTGATTGCAATTTAAATTTACATTCCCCCGAAGAAAGAATTATGGATCTGTTTGAAATAAAGTCAAGTCTCTGAAATGGTGCGTTCCCAAAAGAGACATAGTCCTTTTTGTCTATGATAATCTCATTACTTCCTCATTAAGTAAAACTTAATCCAAAGTAGGAAGATCAATTTGAGTAACACTTAAAACAATCAGCCTCATGGACTGCTCTGTCACCCTGCAAGGGCAGGGAATAGCTCATCTGCTTTCCAAGGATCTGCATGTTACAAGGTACAGCTATTCCCCCTCCATTCTTTGAATATTCTTAGAAAACCCAAGGTAAAATAAACTTTAAAAACACTTCATATAGAAAAAACATTGCAACAAGCAGATAAACAAAAGGAAGTAAATGTTTTTGAAGTCGACAAGTTGACACAAAAAGGGTAGGAAAAGAAGTCACCCATGTCACATTGGCTCAAGTGAGTCAGGTGGCATTTTACCTCGTGTTGTTTTGAACAAAAGCAGCTCAATCCACTTTCACTGAGCAAATGTGTTGATTGCAAAGCTGCAGCCAGCACAACAAGGTTTGACTGAGAGCATGAACTGAGAAAATCCTCTGACACTTCCAGAGGTTAATTATCATACAACAGTTGGGGTTAGGGGACCCTAAAGCCCATCCTGCTCCACCCCCTGCCATGGGCAGAGACACCTTCCACCAGCCCAGGTTGATCCAAGCCCGGTCCAACCTGGCCTGGGACACTTCCAGGGACGGGCCAGCCACAACTCCTGGACAAAATCCTGCTTTGCTGAGCTGAAGACAGAAATTCTGAGGCATCATTTACAGACTTCTGCATTTCAACACAAGAAATTTGCAGTTTTATTATATCCTTTTTATTAATGTTCCATCTAGCTTCCTATTTATTACTTTCATAGATAACAAAAGTTACCAACAATATGCTCGAACATATTCATTTAAAGATTTATTGGAAGATGTGAGGCTGAGTTATCCATTATAGCACTCTATAATTTTCTCCATTACTGAAGAAATAACAAATGTTTTAAATCGACCTGTACCTGCCTGGTCCATAAATCATACCTGTTACTGGCCAGGCTGTGTGGAGAGTGGGATGTTTGGAATGGTGCAGCAAGCAACTTACCCCTCTGCTGCTCTGCATCCATCACATAAAATACATCTCCAGAACTCATTTAGCACTACAAAAGGAAAGATGCTGTAACACAAAACTGCAGAGAATCAACATTCCCTGCAGTATAATAAAGTACCTGGGCTTGGCACTTCTCATCCAGAGGCAGGATCCACCCTGTAGCACAGGAATTTCCAAGGTGGATTCCATGTATAGTGACACAGGGCTGTTGGGATAAGGATGCAGTTCTACAGCAGGGAGAGTTAAGCAGCTGGACCTCAAAGCAGCTGCAGCAGAACAGTGTGTTCTGCAAGAGGCATCACAACCACTGAACCATCAGATACTGAAACAATCAATACTAAGTAGCAGCAAAAGTTCAATGGGAGACAGCTAAAGAAGCTCAGAGTAAAAAGGAGTCATTGAGCCACTCTAAGAAAAACCAACAAACACCTACTGAAGACTGGGCTTAAAAAAAATCTGTGCAAAGCTGGATTCCAGCTGTTAAATCACAGCCTCATTGCTCTTCAGATAAATCAACCGATGTGATTTTGTTCCCAGTGCTGCAAAATGAACAATTGGAAATGCAGTTTCAGTCATGATAGCTTCATTTTCTCTATCTAGCTAAAGCCCAGATTTTCTCAATGCAGGAAGGGAAACAGGACTCCAGTTCCTTGTTTTATGGAATTTAAGATGAGATTTTAAGTTGTCCTCACATTTTGCACGTCTTCTGTGTAGTCTTTTAAATTAAAGCACTTCCACCTACCACATTTTCATGCTAGCTTTGCTACTGATGTTTTTTACTTTAGAAAACCTAATCTGTATGGAAAGGGTCCCTGCCCCACTGCTGGAGGCCCCCTCCCCACAGCTCTGCTGACAGACCAATTTGTGCCAGCATCTCCTAATGAACTGCAGGCAGGATACAGCTGGATTAGTTTATGCTGTTGGGGGTACAGCTTATCAGTGCCTCAAGAACACACGACTGTCTGAATAAGTCCAATTTCTCCTTAAGCCAAGATACTTTTCCCTGTTACAGCCTATGAGGAGCTCTGGCTCTCTGGAGTTGCAGTGATTTGCACATTTATGGTTCTACTTCAGAGCAATTCTGCATCTCACCTGCCTGAGCTCCACAGGTCCCTTCCCACTCCAAGCTGCA